CTCCAGACCGTTGATCTCCTTCACGTCATCAATCGATGAGTGTCCAACTTTCATTACGCGGCGCCACTTCAACAAATACTACAAAGTATTCATGTCAGAGAGACTCCACCACACAAACTAGCGCCAAAAACTGATCATAATGATGCAGTCTATGCAACCCAGATCTAAGATCTGGTAACGGAATGCGTCTTCGCTTTTTCATGCTGGAGCTTGAGGTGATCGTGCAACTATCGAAATAAGCGAGCGCCAAGTTCAGCATGTGTTGAGTCCAAGGTCCATGTTCATCAGTGATGGCAATCTGCGCGATTTTACATTTCCCTTTCGACGCAAACATTTTTCAAAGCAGTCATTTATACAATGGACATTAACAAGGCATAAGGACAAATGGTGCAGAAACTGAGCTTTACCTGCGTCTCGCATGGACAACCATACTTAGCAATGCCAAAATATACCTCGTATTCGAGACTTGAAGTGTTGATCAAGTAGTCAAGAATGGAAAATAGCTACGAAGAGTATACGGCGAATATTTTTAGAACAGGTTTTTGCAATAAGGAAGCATATGGATATCATAGCATCTCCCAAAATAAAAGAAACATGCTCAATTCCGCTGCGCTTAGTCTTCCTTTCAGGACGTATTAATGTGCATTATGATTTAAGGGAATAGCTTTTAAGTATCAGAAACAGGCTTTTTAAACTAGACACAGCTCAGCAATAGTATCAGTGAGATGACAAGGAGTCTCCATTCTTTTAGCGTACTATGATTTAGATCTCGCGAAAATCGGGTAATTCTCCCAACTACGGCGTTAGACGTAGAGTTAGCAAAATGACCATGTGATAAATTCAAAACGAAATCAAATATTATTAGAAGCTTCAAATGTGTCATTCATCATTGTCAACATTACTTTTCATAAATGATTTCGATTTTGCAGCTTAAATTAGTTGATTTTGTATTTCTTACAAGATCCGAATTAAAATTTTACGACATCTACTGTCTAAAGTTACAAACTGACAGTAAAATTAGTGGAAACATTCTGGATTATCTTAATCACACGATCGTATAGCTGTTATCAAAGTTTGTGCAGCAAAAAGAGCAAATAAAACTCTGCTTAGCTTGACGCAGTTGTCTCGTTCATCTCACGCTCATAGCGTAACTTGTCTAGCTTGGCAGCTTCAACCCATGGCACCTTTTGCTCGGGACTCATCTCTTTCCATATCCGTACAAGCTCCTTCATGACATCCACCATCTGTGCATTCTCCCCAAGTGATCGTTTTACTTCCAATCGGCTGGCCATGCTAAATTGTACATATGCGCTTCGAGGCTTGCGCACACTGCTCTGACTATTATCCTTTTTGAGTTTCTTCTCTTTCTTCACTTTTTGCTGCTGATGCTTCATGGCTGTTGGAGACCACGGAGATCTAGGTAGGCGACTATCAGACTCAGATTTAATCGGACTTGCCCCGCCGCTAACGTCAGCCATGTGCTCGTGTTTTGGCACCTTAACCTCCTTTTTCAACTTACCTTCCGCAATGTTAACAAATTCTGGTTTAATAGTCCACGCCAAAGCTCCCTTTGTGACATTTTCATCGACTTCCGCTACCTGACGGATTTTTTTCAAAACATACGACGGTTGTAACTCTTCGTGCTTTTCTTGGCGAATCATTGCGCAGAAGTCAAGAGCAACCTTGGCTGCATCCATACTTGTTGCCTGTAGCAAAAACTGTACCAAATCTTCTGTTCGCTCGTCAACCATTTCCTCGTTCTCATCGCGATCCTTACGTTTCTTCGCACGTTTCGCTTCACGCTGTCGTTGCATGCGTTTAGCTTCTTTCATTATCAATTCGTCCACGCGAGCTTGGTGTTCTTTTACATCCGCACGAGCCGCAGCTAATTGCTGATCAAGCTTAATGCGCTGCTGCTGCAAAATTCGGCGAGCATCATGCTCCTTTTTCTCGCGAAGTTCCAAATCAGCATTATCTTTCTCACAAATACGCATGAGCGAATCACAACGGCGTCCAATTTCAGCTGCCGTGCGCGACCGAAGGTAATAGTCAAAAGCAAACATCTCCATGTTGCAAATCTCTTGCTTGATTCGATCCCAAGCACCATAACCAAATAAATTAACAAGGCATAACAATACTCGATCCTCTTCTTCGGTAAATACCTTGCCACCTTTACCTTGGTAATTTATTGGCATGTCTTCCCACGGGTTCGCATAGCGCTCTACCTTACGTGCCGTCTCCTCAGTCAAGCGCTCGATTTCAAGAAGCTTTGACTCACCTTTCTCGATAGATTTTATGATTTTTGGCCAGTCACTCAGCTCACTCTGACCGCGGGTGAGAAAAACTTTGGAATATTGCTCAATTTCATTCAGAGGTCTCATCATTTCGCGAGCCACAGCTTCGATGTTTCCACGACCATAGCGAGCAAGCAGCTTAATAAACAAAAAAAACTGTGGCTTATTCCAGTTGCTAAAACCCTCAGACAGGAGTTGCTTTTTTTCCTGTAACTCCTCTTCCGTAAGATACTGCACATGAGGCGGAAGTAGCGGTTTCTCCGTTTCTGCTTTCGCCAGCCTGTAGTTTGCACACTCGATTTCGTGTAGTTCAAATAGCCGTTTGCGATTATAAAATTGCCATTCATCAATTCGAGGCAAACGCAATACCTTCGGTAGTTGTTTTTGTTTTGTTCTATGCTTGGTGTCGAGAGAAACATGACTGTGACGAAGAACAGTACGCCGTTCTCGTTTGCCCATCCCTTCAGCCATTTGACGAGCAAATTCAGCATCAGCAAGACGCTTCAGCTCTTCTTGGCGTTCTTTCTCATTCGAGTAATCGATACCGTCATGATTTTGGCAGCCTCCACCGTCAAGTTTGAAATCGAGTAAGTCTCCCTTGTCGTGAACTTGCATCTTTTGCTTCATCTCCTCTGTGCGTTGTTCACCCTTTGCAAGTATAGCATCAATGTCTTCATCAGTGATAGTCGAATCGGTAGTTCGAAAGACTTGATCGGCACCAAATCGAATCATTTCAAGCATATCGTTCTTAGTGAGCTTGCTCTGTTTTTCTTGTAGGCGACCTTGCTGCACAACCATAGCGTCCAGTTTCAGCTTTTGTTGAGCCCGTTCAATTATCTTTTCCTCAACAGAATCTGCTGTTACAAGTCGATACACATTCACCTCTTTCTTTTGGCCAATACGGTGTGCACGATCCTGTGCTTGCAAATCGGCCTGTGGATTCCAGTCCGAATCGTAAAGAATGACAACATCAGCCGTATACAGGTTGATTCCAAGACCACCAGCACGTGTTGACAGCAAAAATAGAAATTTCGATGAATCAGGCTTGTTGTACTCGTCAATCGAGCTTTCACGATCCTCGTACGACGTTTGGCCATCAATACGGCAATACTGATACTGGCGCATGCGGCAGAAGTCCTCCATAATGTCCAAAATACGAGTCATTTGAGTGAAAATAAGTACGCGCGACCCTCGTTGCTTAAGCTTTTTTAGCAATTTATCTAGTAAAACCATTTTTCCGCAATTTTCTACAACGTGATCTCCCAAAGGATCCAAAGACCGATCTTCCTGCCCTTCAAATAAATATGGATGACCACAGCACTTTCGTAGCTGCATTACAATATTCTGTAAAGCGCTTTTAGTGACACCTCCTGAACCACCCATCACGGTGTTCATATCGCGCAGCAAAAGCGACTTATAAAGTAATTTCTGCATTTCAGACATGCCCACAAACAACAGTGTTTCCTTTTTTGGTGGAAGACTTTTCTCAACGTCTGCTTTCAGACGGCGCAACATGAAAGGACGCAAAATTTTATGTAATTGGCTAATCATTTGCTTCTTCGCTTCATCATCATCCACGTCTAAATTAAACCAGTCATCGAACTCCTGCGATGAGGCAAAAACATCAGGCAGCAAGAAGTTCAACAAAGCCCACAATTCATGGAGATTGTTCTGAAGAGGTGTGCCTGTCAGCAGTAAGCGATGTTCGGTGTCTAACATTCGGACGACCGTAGAAAACTGGGAGCTTTCATTCTTGATCCGATGAGCCTCATCAATAATCAAATATCTCCATGCAAACTTACACAAAGCTGTCTTTTCTTTGAGACACATTTCAAATGTAGTTACGCAAACGTCAAATTTACGCATGTCATCGGGTAATCCAGGGCAAAGAATCTCCTGCACACATCGCTGACGTTCTTCTTTGTTACCATGAAACTTGACTGCACGCAAAGAGGGACACCAGCGCTGGAACTCTGCCAGCCAATTACTCAGCGTAGACTTTGGCACTAGCACAATATGGGGACCGGTTACATTCTCAAATTCGTAAAAGTAACCCAGCACTGAGATCGTCTGCAAGGTTTTTCCCAAACCCATTTCATCTGCAAGGATACCGTTGATACCCTGGTGTGCAAGGTTTATCATCCAGCTAAGGCCTTCTAGTTGGTATGCACGCATGGTACCGAATTTAATCACAGATGGTTGTTGTGTGATACGAACACCCACATGATGCAACAAGTTCATGTCATCCTCATCAGCATTTCCTTCACGTTTCTTCGTTTTCTTGCCATTTCCTTTGCCTCCATTACTATTTTTATCCTCAAGATTCTTCTCTTCACTCACGGCATCTTTATCAGCATCTAGCGTCGAGTTATCCTTGCTTTTATTTTTACCCTTTTTTATTTGTCCACTAAAGTGAGCAAATATATCACTTTGTGACAACAAATATTTGAGTCTAGCCGATGCAATCTCGGACTTTTTTGTTGCAAGCGCTTCTTTCTGACGCAATTCTTCAGCCTTAAGCTCATCTCGTTTTCTACTTTCCTGTTGTCGAACTTCCTGACGCATTCTCTTTGCTTTCAGCTGTTTCTCCGAGAGATCTATCGGCTGACGCTTAGGACGCCTTTCTTCAATTGCCATTTCAGTCTACTCATAAAAAAATGCAAATGAAATCCAAGGAATGAAGACTAAATATCATTCTAGCACATACCTTTTTGCGCTCACGCTTGCCTTCGACCATACCGTACATTTCTTCTTGCTTACGTGCACGCTCCATTTCCACTTCTTCGTCGCGCGCGCGGCACTCATCGTCGTAACGTTTCTTATCAATTGCTGCGAGCTCCGTGAATTCATCCCGATCATTAGCTGAAAGCTGTGACCAGCGTGCACTTATTTCCCGAGATATATCACCCAACTCAACAGGTTTATGTAACTCGGCTGCCTTAGCTGCTACGTCACGTTTGACGTCCTCCATGATGCGTTTTTGAAAAATTTGATAGGCTGATTTGGCCTTGGTGGGCTGAGTCGCCATACCGCCTTGAAATTGAGCCTCTACAGCCACCCAGTCAGCACGACTTTCCTTCTTCTCCATTGCGTGTTAGCTGTGAGGAGAGAGTCACCGCACTACACGTTATTTCCTTGATAAATGAACCATCGTGTAACAATTATGTGTTTTGAATTGATCACATCATAATGCTGTTTGCTGTATCTATATTGATGCAGTCTTTTAATGACAATAAAGTTTTTCATGTCACTAGATTGGGGGAGGTTGAAGTCGTTGAGGAATTTAGTTGATGGCTTCGCTGAATAAAGACGCGCGCTCGGATGTCGCCATGGACAACGACGTCGTTCAATGGGACGCTTGTGCAGCGCATAAAGATTGTGATTCATGTTTGAATGCTAGTGTCACATGCCACTTCTGCAAGAGTGACTTTCAGTGCCACACTATTGGGTCTCCATTCGGCTGTCCAGTCGGCGTCTCCGTTTGCCACCATCTTGAAGGTCTTTTATCGCGGTTTAACGTATTAATTGGCATAAATTTGATGCAGATGAACTTATCGTATGTAGACTGCAAGCGATCCGAGCCACAGCACGTGGGGTATGGGCCCCCGCCATCTGTAGTCATTGCGGTGCTGTGTCTCATGACGACGCTGACATGTTGTTTCTGCGGGATCTCAGCCATTTGTTCTGTCTTTTGTCGATCGAAGAAATTGGAGTCACGACATACTAAACTTGCAAAAGCTTTGGCATCTAGCAAGCGGAAAAAGAAGAAAAGGTATAAGCTCAGGTGCAAGTAGCTTTGTTTTATTTGGTTAAAAGCTGCTTATTACTATATAATTTACTACATCAGAGACGAAGAAGAGCATGCACAAGCACAACGTCAGCCATTACTGCTAGATGAGATTCGAGAAGACGAGGTTCGACTGTTTGAAAATGAAGTGGACCAGACATCACTTGAGCGTCTTCGTATTCGCTACGAAGAGGATGAGCGGCATTTTAATTGGCAAGCATTAGCGTCGCGAGTAACTTGGCTGATAGCACTCATCTCAATGACAGTGTTAGCGCTCATGTTCTTTCCACGCATGCCTGACTACAACGTATGCAATCGCGAGTTTGAATGGGAGTCTATTCTTCACAGTATCATGGGCCTTGAGCCAAAAGTTGAGTATCAGGTGCTTGTGAGTGTGATCAACGAAAATCGTTTCGGATTCGTTCTGGAATCGGGAAGGGCTGATATCTACCACAATACCACGCTTGTGGGCAAGTGGGAGCTTGATAAGCCATGGAAAGCACAAGCTGGGGCGATCAGTGATGTGATCGCAGGGATTAATATAACCCCTGGATTTGCAGGAGGTATTGCGCTTTGGAAAGACTTTAGCAAGAATGAGCTCATTTTTCGTATCAACGCTACAATAAGTGGATCTATCACGTGGGGGAGATACAAGGTATGATTTTCATGTGATCCTGGCAAGTTTTCGAAAATTGATGTCTTGTGATGTGCTCTTACTCTATCAATGCAGATTTATCGCATTTCGTCCTCCACTCCAGATGTCGAGTTTCTGGTTGGGGCTGAATATGATCGCAGTCTTTGCAGGTGCACAGAGTATTTGACTCCATCGTAAAAAACGAGACCTTTTATCAAACACTCGACGTTTGCAAGTTCTAATTGTGCCAATTAGCGCAAGAATGTCTTTTTCAGGGATTATAAGTATATTATACCGTTTTAAGATTGTAAAAAGTATCGACGCCGTTCCAAAAAGGTCATGGTCGCTAGAAACTTCCACTTGGCTGGTAGCTTAGCATATCAGAACCTCGCGCTGTGAAAACTTTCTTCAGCATTTCATCGGCGCATGCCATCCGTGCTCTTTCAGTCGTCACAGGGCTGCGCAATTCAAAGTATTCGTGATGACCAGCATCCAGTCTGGCTGCGTAAATAGCCTCCTTCACAGCAAAAAAAGCACTAGAGCCTAAGAACAGCGGAGGTTCTCCAACCGCCTTGCTCGAGTGCACTGCAAATTTGTTCTTTTGATTTGATTCGAGCCACACACGGAAATTTAATGGAACATCGTTGGCGCTCGGAATTTTGTAAGCTCCAGGACCCCGAGTAAACAAATTTCCTCGTTTTACCCACGGATGCCCATCATCACCCCATACCAACTCCTCCAGCGCAAACAATCCAAATCCTTGCATAAACGCGCCTTCAATCTGGCCAATGTCAATGGCAGGGTTGATGCTGGCGCCGAGATCCATCATAATGTCGACACTCAACATGTGAAAGTCACCAGTAAGCACATCGAGCTCCACAACAGTACAAGCAACGCCTGTTGTAAAGTAATTAAATGCTGTGCCTCCCTTAACATTTTCGGCTACAGACTTGGAAAAATCATAACCACAACGCTCTTTTGGAACAACGTAGAACCCTTGAGCTGACATGTTGACTCTTTCAAAGTAGGCTGCATTTGTAACATCACTGAACGAGGCGTTTGGTCCAAGTCGTTCACGAATGGGTGCCAGACGCTCTAAAATCTGTTCACACGCGTCTAAAGTTGCCATCCCATACATGTCCGTGCTCATGGAGGCTGCTGACGGCTGCGAATTCGGGACCTTATTTGTCGACGTCTCTTCAATATGCACCTGCTCATGCGGAATTCCAAAAGCGAGCGCGACCACCTGGATCACTTTTGTGTGTAAACCTTGCCCCATTTCAACGCCACCGTGTGAGACCAAAACACTTCCGTCTGCATACACATGTACCAAAGAGCCACCTTGATTCATAAACTTTGAGGTGAAGCTGATACCAAATTTTGTTGGCAAGATCGCAATACCACGCTTTTTCCAGCGATTACGCTGGTTGAAAGCCTCAACCTCTTTCCTTTTTGTCGTAAAGTCACTGCGATCGATTGTTTGTTGCCATAATGACCGCAAGTTAAAGTCCTCAAGTATTTGACCAAAGTGGGTTGTTTGGCCTTCAATGTACATGTTACGAGACCGAATCTCTTCGGGAAAAAGCTTTAATGTGCGAGCAATGTGATCGATGTACGTCTCAGCAATAAAAAGACCTTGAGGTCCACCAAATCCGCGAAAAGCAGTATTTGTTGGAAGATTAGTACGGCAAAGGGTCCCGTTGCAGCGAAGGTTTGGAATTTTATACACATTGTCGCAATGAAAAAGCGCGCGATCCATTACAGCCAACGATAGATCCATCGAGTACCCAGCGTTATTATAGATATCAACATCCAGGGCCAGAATGGTTCCATCACGCTTAACACCAACCTTGTACTTAGCATAAAAGGGATGTCGCCCACCAGTGGTCAGCATGTCGACATGGCGTTCCAAAAGACACTTAACGGGACGTTTCATCACGTAAGCTGCAATTGCAGCTGCACACGTCACAAACACAGAACGCGTTTCTTTTCCCCCAAAGCCCCCACCAATGCGTTTGGTCATACTTGTGATTCGATTCGAATTGATACCCAGCACAGTAGCCGCCAAAACCTGCGCTTTCGTTGTGGCTTGCGTGGAAGAGATAATTTTCATACCACCCTCTTGAGGTATGCACAATGAGACATTCGTCTCGAAATAAAATTGCTCCTGCCCACCCATGTGAACCTCACCCTCCAGAACAATGTCCGACTCTGCAAGCCCTATCTCAACGTTGCCGCTGTCGATAGAGTGCACTGGGTGAAAGAACGATTTGCTACATATTGCATCTTTGATAGTTATCACAGATGGCAACTCTTCGTAAGTGACCTTCACCATGTCAACGGCCGCCATAGCTAATTCGTGTGTTTCCGCAACAATTATACCAATCGGTTGCCCAACGCACAATACTTCTCTTGATGCAAAACACTCCTCGTCTTTTACCACAGGACCAATCTTGTTCGAGCCAAGCTGTTCAGTCTCAAAAATAGAAGAATCAAAGAAGCGATAAACACCCTTCAATGCCAGTGCATCGCTTGCATCTATGCTTTTGATTAGTCCATGAGCACAAGTTGATAAAACCAAAGCACCGTGGAGCGTTCCGTGAATGGCTGGGATGTCATCAGTGTAAGAAGCTTCTCCGCTTACCTGCAGGTAAGCTGACTTGTGCATGAGTGGGTCGCCTACTGGACCTCTCTTCGTCGTTGCATTACCTACAGATTGGTGTTTTGAGTCTTGAAGACCACCCGTCTCCATTCCAAAGGCCTGAATGCCATATGAAGCAGGGCGTGCATAATGCAAGAATGACTTGCCTGCAGACTGCAATCTGGCATCAATAGCCGGAGCCTTTGGAAGGTCTAAGACCGCAACCTTACTTAAATCAAGCTGAATTTGTTCCGAGGACACAACAAAGAATTTGTAAAGAAATGACGAGCACAAACTTTCTCTGTACTTAGCCATTCCACCGGGAACACTGTCGGGGAGATTGAAGTCGCCCGCGTGTAGCATATTACACGCTTCGTCGATCGTCGAAGCATCAAAAATCTTGCCAGTGAGAAAATGTTCCGTTTCGACTGCGGGCTTTGTCACCGGCGCCATTCCACCAAACACCACAGAGACATCCTTGATAATCCAAGCGGTGGGATCTCGCGAGCACTCTAGCCGTACTCGAATTCCCGCTGTGACAATGCTGATATCGTCCTCGCGCCTTCGAGCCTGCTTAAAAGGAAGCATGTATTCCCATTTTCTCGTGAAAGGAACATATATCGCTGTAATGACCTCATTTAGCTCCAAATCTACCTTTCGGTATGAGAGGAAAAAGTCACGAACTCTGATGTGCCGAGTGCCTCCCGTCGATCGCAGTTCGATGTACGCATTCATGGCTGCAAGCAATGGGTTCAGGTCTGAGATCGGGCTTGCCGTAACAAGATTGCCGGCAATACACGCCACGTTTCGGATGTGCGTACTAGCAAACCACTGAAGCATCTTAACAATCGAGTCAAAAGCCCGAACTTGATAAAACGGCAAGGTCTTGATATGCTCTGACAAGTGCTTCTTAACATCGGTTAGTGATATCGCAGCACCAAATTTTACACCTTGGAAGGGATCAGCGTTCTCAAGAACGGTCTGGTTGATACAATCGGTCGGTGTCACATCTTCTATGATAAATAGTTCGGGAATTCGACTGACATTGATCAAATGCGCGTACTTAAAACCTTTGAATTTGGTTTCTATTCCCATTTCCGTGTTGCCAACAACGACTTTAGCGTCACCATGCTGTTTTTTTAGCTGAAGAAGGTGTGATAATGACACAGGTGCGAACCACTGGACGTCATTTCCGTTAATCTGCAACGTTTGTGGAGTCTTCGCCATTTCTCCCAGCTCATTAGGAAACGAAAGTTTAGTCTCGCAATCATCCTTTTCAGTGATTTCACGAAATTTTCGTTGATTAGCAAGCTTTCGTATCTTATGAGATGAGCAAGTCATAATGTGTTGGGATTTATTGCCATGTAAATCCTCAATATCCATCTCTGTGTTGCCAATTTTTACATTGGGACAACCTAAACATGTACCTTTGCACTGTGCCTCGCTTGCATCAGCACCAAAGCTCTTGGCCGCATCTAAGATCGGACGATATCCTGTACAACGACATAAATTTCCGTCCATGCCGTGCTCAATGTCTTCCATCGTGATATTCTCGCCTGTCTCACGCTGCTTAACAAGTGAATAAAGTGCCATGACAAAACCAGGTGTACAGTAGCCGCACTGCGACGCATGCGACTCTGCCAAAGTCTTTTGCACCTCATGTAACCGTGTAGCTTTGCCGGCCAAAGCCGAAATAGTGCCTACACCTTCAACAGTAGTGATAGCGCAAGAGTCCATAGAGCAAAGTGGGGTCAAGCAAGAATTAACCGACACATGCCGTACGCGGCCTGTAGTAATGTCGATCTTAGATACCATTACGGTACAGGCACCACAACCGCCTTCACCACAGCCAAGTTTAGTGCCGGTGAGCCCGAGATCGTGACGCAAAAACTGCAACAAAGTCTGCTCTGGATGCACACACTTCTCATTAATTTCAATGCGCTGGCCATTCACGTACAAAAGCAAATTGTGTCGGACGTTGGCGGTCACAGATGAAGTCAGAGACACTGCCATCTTGCACTTTGATCTTTGTTTCTTTTCAAGATTCGACCAATAGCAAACAGTCTACTCAAATAGAGAACGACCAAATTATTATTGCAAGCCTATAAATTGATGCGAGTACAAAGTTTTAACTCTAGTTTTGACTTCACTACTTGGAATTGTTTACAACTCACTATAAAACAGTATTGCTTATGCATTAAAAATTAAGATTAGCCAGTACAAGGTCTCGAAGCTCGAATTCTGTCCACGAAGGAGAGATCACAATGGTTTGCACAATGTCATGATTCTCGTCGAAGAAAATCAAATGAGGTGGCTGTGCAAATTCCTTTACCTGCAACACCATCAGCAGCTAAACGTTAATTAGATTCTATCACATTGAATATCTTACCTCAAAATCACGAAGTTGATGTTGCTGAATATTATCTGCAAACTCTTGAAGGTGAGAGAACGAAGCAAGTTGGCACGGAATATGAAACGGTGCACGAAGCTCGCCGCGAACTCCTGGCTGCTCACTCTTTGCATCAAAAGGATCATCACCCTAAACTGATAAAAGTATTGTCAAAATTAAAGCACAAACTCACGGTCGGTTGAGGGAGCATTTGTTGATACAAATATCGTTCTTGCTTCGACATCGATACCGGTTCTAATTGTTCTAGAGTTGAAGCTGAGCATGTTGCAGGAAGAGGATCAAAGCTTTGGTGTTGCGATACGATCGGTGATGCCACGATAGTAAGCACCAAAAGCAAAGACGTAGCTAGTCGCATTCGCATAACCATTTGGCTACAAAAAATCCTTGTAATCATATGTCTCTTTTCTGCTGTATTATATAATAATACAAAACAGCCAAAAAATACGAATTAATATGTCGAGAAGCCAGGAAGACGATTGGATTGATGAGGTGCAGCACAACGAGGGCTTTGTCGTGGACGAGGTGAGTTATATATTTGCGTCTATTATATTTCATATACATCAGCTCGATCGTTTCGATCTCAATCTGCTACGTGAGAAGCTGGGGTTTAAACATCATATTAATTGTAGCATGCACTATTTTACAGACTAAAAGTGGATTGGAAATTCCCAACCGACAAGTAACTTATCGTCGCGCTATTGTGGGGGCGCAATTCATGACATCACATTTCGACTCGCAGGTGCAGAGTCTATGTTACTGATTTGGAAGTTGACACGTCGTCTAAATAAGTGCCTTCATTTATAAAGACAGAAGACTTATTTGAAGCACACTCGTCAAAAAATGTCAAGTTCTCGACTAACTCAGCCACGCTTCAAGACCTGGAATATAAATTACCAAGTGTCGGCTCTATGCAAACAAAGTCCGAGCACTTTGACCACAATTCTGTTAAAGTGGCAGGAAAGTCGCGGATATTGATGCCAACTGAAGAAGTTCCCGACGCTTCAGAAGTGGGATATCATCAGGTCAACCCCATGTTCGAGTCGTGCGCACCTGCCGATGTGATCTATCACTCACTGCACGAGGCAATGAGAGCACTAGACATTGAAACTTCGTGTAGCCCGGACTGGACGGTATGGCCTGTGATGCATCTCTTGTATATTTAAATTAAAGTCTTTGGTTGGCTTATGGATGTGTGGATAGATGGACGGTTATGCGCTGATCGAAGCCGAAGAATTGTATTTCAGCGTTCATTTGCATCGTTTGGCAATAAAATCGACCATTCGCGTGGATTTTAACTTGCGTTCGGTGCGTGTCATCATCATCTCGTTACATTTTGTCTGATCTAAAGAGAAAGTTTTCAGGGCGATGAGCTCAAATTTCTTGGATTGACTGACCTCATCCGACAAAGGTGCAGAGCAATCGACAAAGACATGATCAGTTTGCCTGAGCTTAGGTAAGTGATTTTACCTTGCTTGACACATTTGTGCCCTATACATCATTTTGATGGTGGGTTTAAGCGTGGCAGAAGTCAAATTGATTTTGATGCATATGTATGTTTTACATCTTTCTAACCCTCGGTTATGCGCTCGCGTGACGTTATTATCATTTGATGTCGATCAGCTTTGATATCATGGCCGACTGGTCATCGCCTGAAAAGCTTGTTTCAAAATCTCACGTGGAAGATTCACAGGAGCTTTCGATGCTACTTCTTGATTTAAATTCCGAGACTTCGCCGTCCACGCGATACCAAGTCGCTAAACGCTTAAAAGAGTTTTGTAAACACGACTTAAACCGTCGTGCACTTGTGAACTTGCTCAAGGAGCAGTTTGTCATTGGTTTGCAGTCGATGCTTCAGGATGTTGATGAGGACATCGTGCGATTTGCCATTTTTACTATTTTGAGTTTTGCTGACGATGTATCATCTCCTAACGAGTAAGTAGGTACATGTTACTGTCCGTCATGCCGTGATACGCCGATCTAAACAACTTTTCTTACTAGCTTGGAGCTGCCCCATTTGCCTGAAACACTTCGTGGCATCCTAACCATTTCGCAAAAAGATTCAACAAAGAAACTTGCCGGCGATCTTTACAAAACCATTTGCGCCGTCTGTTAGTTGACATGAGATTCTTAAAGTTTATGGTGAGTGCTTCGCTCGAGATGTAAAAGGATTAGAGCCCTATGGCCTAGCGGCTATTGTAAAATGAATAATGCCCGAGAACTATCGTCAATTTTCTAGAACGCATCAGAACTTAAACTTGAAGACGCGCGATGTGGATAATGGTTTAACTAGCAGGTCAAGACTGTATAGATGAGTCAGGAAAGGCTTTGACAAAGCCTTTGCTAAGGCTGCGCAAGACGTCAGGAGCTGTCATCGAGCGCTGATGCTCGTCAAACGCGAATTTTGAACTAAAAAACAGCATTTATTACCTCCAGTCAAATACCTGTAAAGTGACCGAAAGAAATCAAAGATGGCAAACCTGGCTCGCGTCACAAGAGAGCCTCCATAAGCAGCTAATAACAGAATATTGCCATCATTATCATCCCTGCAGCAGCGATCCAACAACACAAAGATTGTCAGCTGGTTGGAGAGCGCGACATAATAACAAATACAGAAGCATACAGATCCGCTTGCTTAGTCCAAGCTGCAAAAGTTGCAATAGCTCCTGAAAGGATCTGTACATGCGGACATTACAGCTCAGTGCCACCTTACAATTACTTCAAACACGTGCAAAAAATGCAATACGGTCGTACATCTCCTTGTCCACCGCACCTACGTGGACAACCGAATTCTGCATTCACTAGAGCTGCGTAGTTAAGCAAGCAAAGTGGTAACGCAACTGAGAATTTTAAGCAAACTGAAAATTCTTCCTTACTGATTGTGCCGTCAGAGAATGTATCGACATTGCCCTTCTGCAGAATCACTGGATATCCTAAGCTGCGATCAGTAATGAGTGTGAGCATATATTGTTATGAGAATCACATTGAATATTATATTTACGCCTCGCTAAGCTGGGCCGGTGGAATCTTTGCTGCCTGTTGAGTATCGAAGCTCGAAAGTAGTCCCATAGTGACACAAAGTCGTGCATACTCCATCTTACATATTGACGTCGATCAATAACTGTCAATAACGTTTTTTTTGCAACAGTTTCTTACTCCATTTGGTGTGAGAATTGCATTTCTATAGCCCTTCACCACGTTCGGTTCCAAGCTAACAAGGTAAAGTGCATCTCCGTCCAAAATTAACGGTAAATTAGCCTCTTTAGCCTTCACAATCACTTGTCGAGTAATCTCTTGCACACTTTCATCTCGCCCAAGTCCAGGGCCAATCACTAGAGAGTCAAGTCTCGGTAAAATTTGTGCAATTCTCTTTACTGCATTAGCCAAGATCTCAGCTCGTTTCGACTCCTCGAATCCTTTCAATGCCGCGTCTGAGCGCAGTAGCGGGTGCACAATGAGTTCAGGACTGTAGCTCTTGATAGGTATAGCAGCTTCCTCGACACAGAAAATATGACATAGATCTGCTCCTGTCTTGAGACTCGAAATTCCAGCATAAAACGGAGCGCCTGTGTACTCAAACGACCCGCCGATGACACCAATACGACCTGTAAAAATAGCGGCAGAATTGCCATATGAGCAGCAGCTTGCAGTTATCCATACAAATCGACCCTAAACCTTGCTGTCCCTTATGATAGTGCGCCGCAAGCGGTGGAATCAAACGCGATACAAGCGAGCGCGCGGACATAAATAAAATTTGGTTTAATTATGTACAGGATTCATGTCCACGTCAGAATAGTAGACGATTCTAACGTGTAAAATAAATAATCCAATCAGATGCGAGGACGTTAAATCTACTTCAATTCCGAGAAGCCGCATTGACAGCTCACTTCCGAATCGGCATTCTACGTGGCATTTAAGTCGACAGAAGTAACTTCTTTCATCAATATGATGTCCCCGGTGTTGCTAAAAAGCACGACTCGTATGAGTGGTCTACGGATCGTGACACACTCGGCGCTGCCAGCGGTACAAGTAGTGCATCAGACGCAGACGCGTACGTTTGTGGCCAAGCAAGTGTACAAGCTAGCCAAACGCGTGATGCCGCGCATGTCTAATACTGAGAAAGCAGCTTTGGAAAGCGGTACTGTGGGTTTTGATCGGGATATTTTTTCGGGATCGCCATCTCTTGCAATGCTGGACAAGTATTCGGCACGATTGAACGCTGAAGAACAAGCTTTTATGGACAATGAAGTTCAGCAGCTGTGCGAAATGATCGATGACTACGAAGTCACGCGCACCCAAGACATGCCACTTAAAGTTTGGCAGTTTATTAAAGACAAGGGATTTCTTGGTATGATCATACCTAAGGAGTATGGTGGCAAACAATTTAGTGCTCATGGTCACTCGGTTGTAATCACGAAGATTGCTACACGTAGTGCATCAGCTGCCGTCACAGTGTGCGTGCCTAATTCACTTGGACCTGCTGAGCTACTGCTTCGTTATGGAACCGAAGAGCAGAAGAATTACTTTTTGCCTGATCTAGCAAATGGCAAACACCTTCCGTGTTTCGGTCTCACAGGACCGACCTCGGGCTCGGATGCTGCTAACATGCGTGATACTGGCACTGTGTGCGAGCAGGATGGTGTACTGGGCATTCGTGTTACGTTTAACAAGCGCTACATCACTTTGGCACCTGTTGCCACATGTGTTGGACTCGCGGTGGATGTGAAAGATCCTCAGGGATTGCTGAAAGGTAAAGGCAGTCCAGGCATTACTGTGGCATTGCTAGAGCGCAACCATCCTGGCCTTCAGATGGGCAAACGCCACGACACCATTTCAATCCCATTTATGAATGGTCCCGTAACGGGTCAGGATGTGTTTATCCCCATGTCGAAGATTATTGGCGGTCAAGAGCGTGTCGGGTACGGCTGGAATATGCTTATGGACTGTTTAGCTGAAGGTCGCTCCATCAGTTTGCCGGCTTCGGCAGTGGCTGGTGCTAAATTATCAGTCAATGCAGTTGGTGCATATGCGCGTATTCGTCAGCAATTTAAGGTGCCGATTGCTAATTTGGAAGGCATTCAGGAGCAGCTTGCTATCATGGGTGGAAACGCCTTTATTATGACAAGTGGTCAGCATATGGTAAACGCTATGATCAATCAGCACGAGCAGCCTGCCGTTATTAGTGGCGTGTGCAAGCAACAAATAACGGATCGTGGTCGTGATACAGTCATTCGCGCTATGGATGTTCTCGGTGGAGCTGGTATCTGCAAGGGCCCTAACAACTTTCTAGCCAACATTTACACATCTCTTCCCGTCGTCATTACAGTAGAAGGTGCCAACATTTTGACGCGCTCTCTCATCATCTTTGGTCAAGGGTTGACACGAGCTCACCCTCATCTCTATGAGCTCATCAAGACTATCCAGCACGGCGATGACCTTGAAGGGTTTAAAAAGGAGTTGTTAAAGCTGGTCAAGCATGGAGTATCAAATACCGCTGGTTCTCTTAAAACGGCTGTCACACGCTCGCGCTTCAAAAAGCAAAGTGGCCTGCTTGCTCATTATGAATCTCAGATGGACAAGCTTGCAAAGAATTTTGCTATGAGCGCAGATCTATCGCTGGTGCTTGGTGGCAAGCTGAAGTTTGCTGAAATGATTTCTGGCCGATTCGCTGATGTGTTTTCGAGTCTATATCTGGGCTACTCTACAATGTGGTTCTACAAGAACAATCGTCACGTTGAAGGTATTGACGTTATCTTCGACTATGCTATGACACAGCTTTGTTATGAAGCGCAACAGGGTATCGTAAGCATTAGTAAGAACTTTCCAGTGCCAGGAGTTGGTCCAATCATGCGTGGACTGTCGTTTCCATTTGGCTTGCCTTACGATGCACCTACAGACAAGCAGATGCGCAAAGTTTCTGAGCTAATTTCAACTGATTCGGCTGTGCGTAGCCTACTAAGCGACAATGTTTTTGTATCCGAAAATCCAGAGGATCGTGTTGCACTTTTAAACGCGACACTACCCAAGGCCGTGAAGGCCAACCGCACGCTTACCGCATTGCGGAAGCAAAAGCGAAGTGCAACGGTCGACGAGCAAAAGTTCATTGATGAGGTTGAGGCTGCACGCGAAGTCATTATTCAAGTCGACAGTTTTGATGGTCTTGGTGCTGAAGTTGGCAAGCCCAAGGACTATGTGCGTCCGGGTATGATTGGCAACAAATTTGATGTGAAGAAATAGATCGAGGCGACAAGATGTTGGAAGCGACTTTTAACGTGCTGTAGACTTAACTGATCGATTTTTTTCAGAAACATTTTACATTACTATATAAACACCAGAAATCATGCTGATCAAAGTACAGTCATGTGTTTAATTATGTCAGATCTTCATTCTAACGGTGCTGCAAGCTAAGCAAAGGAGTAAGCACACCCATTCTAACTATACGAGTCAGTTTTCCCCTACAAACCTCTGCAAGTATTACATAACATGAGTCAGAGATTGACAAAACGAAAGCTTCTTTATGATTACTACGAACCTCGGTATTTTGCCTGGCGCATCGTATGAAGGCATCAGCGACTTCTTTGCACTTTAAGACGTCACTACCTTTGTCATTATAGCATTTAAAGCACGCCTCGCGCTCAGATGAGCACTGGACATCCCGAAGCGGTGCACAGTACTTTTTCTTATTAATCTCAGCCACAAGCTGCTCTACACGCTTACTCTCGCGCTCCTCCTGCTCTTTGGCAAATTGAGCTTGCTGCGCTGGGCTAGGTTTGATGGTG